AAATTTCAATACACTGAAAAAGTGTTAAATTCAGGAAAAGGTTTCTGAAACTAATGAACCAAACAGTTCAAACCACTGTTCAGTATATTCTAGTACAGTCCTCATGCGGTCAATGTATGGAAGGCTGATAAAGATTAATTTGTTTAGAAAGAGGAGATGCTAAATTATACATTAAGAACAGTGCTCCTATATGAAGCATGACACATCTGTGGACATCAAACAAACCCTTCTGCCCTTGCCTAACAGAACATCAGACTCTTCCCAAGTTTGGGTAGATGTGGAAAATCACATGGTTGTTCAATGCCTCCATGTGGTAGAAAAATAATTTAGTGCTGTCCTAGCTTCCTGTGATAGCAACATTAAAGACCCATAGAGTCTGCTGATGCTTATGTTTCAAATGAGTCAGCTTTATTTTTTTAAGTTTTATAAGAAAATTACCTGAGTTAAAGTTAGGCTTCATGGAATGTACCCTTTCTTGTGATCCTTCTTCATTTTTTTGTATACAAAACATTTTTTCAGCCAAAACAGCATTACAAAATGAAGTACAGTCTGACGTAGAGGCACCCATCTGTAATCTCAGTACGCTGGGAGGCTGAGTCCAGAGGATCCCAAATTTGAAAACTGCCTAGGCAATTCAGCGACTCAGCTGTTACAAAATAAAGGAAAATATAAAAGGCCTGAGGATATAGCTTAGTATGAAGGCCCCAGGTTCTACCCTCAGTATTGCAAAAGGTTAAAAAAAATCCAAGCAAATAAAAGGAAGTGGGTTGAAACCTATAGTGAATCCACCTTTCCCAGAAGGATTTTTTTAGTTGACAGAAAAACAACATCATTTTTATTTAGCTATACCATATTAACAAGTATTAATTTGTTTGACAATTGTTGGGGCATGGGATTGGCCAAAGAGAGTGGTTATCTTTAGGAAATACTGTAATTTCAGTGCGAGAAACAAGGAGTGTTCAAAAGCCAGACCAAGTCTCTCTTTCTCTTTACTCAACTGTTTCATTTTACCTCCTAGGAATCAGCTAGCACCTTGATCTTCAAGTGCTTCTACTTAAAAGTACTTGGTACCCTAAAGATGACTTGAAGAAGAGAGCTGGATCATTCTGAGAACCAGGAATAGGCACTAGTGAAAATTGGAGCCCACTTCCTCAAAGCCCATGAGGCGTTACCCTGCTGTGGTCACTTGGGCTTCTGTGACTGGGTGTGTTTTTTAGAATGTAAATTGAGTGGTCCCATCAAAGTATTCAGTGTGTAAGTACCTTTTCTTCAAGACTGCTGTACTACAACAGAAAATTGCTTCTCCTGGGGGAAACTGGGAATGCGGGAGGGGAAGCAAAGGCCTTTTGTGCCTTGGGTATTTGTTTTTAAAAACAATACAGCATCAAAATGTATTATCTATTTAAAATATACCCATAAATGTAAAATAAAAGTGAGAAATGTTCTCCGGGGAGGGGTAGGGAACTTCAAGAGGTCATTAGGTTATTCAAGCAAAGATCACAAATTCAGGGATTCCCTTAGATTGCTGCTATTTCCCACTCTCCCAACTGTAGCATCTTGGTGGTTAATGAATCCTCGGAAACACTACAGTTCTTTTATGTTTTTCTCCCATGTAATGGAGGGACTTCTTCCCCTCTAACAGTGCCAGAACTGAGAAGAGCATATATGGCTGGGATGGGTCATAATTGCTTTCTTGTCACCAATTTATTACATGACCTTGGATAAGCTATACTAGCTTTCTTTGCTTAATTTCTTCATCTATAACATGAACCTGAACAAGCCCATCTCAGCCGCTCTGAGTCTCTTCACTGGCCAGCTCTGCACTGCACGGGGCACACTTCTTTTCTCACCTTTGACCCACACTCACTCTGTAGAGCACACTCCTTTTCCTTCCTCTAACACTGTTAATACGAGTGAAACCTCGCTAAAGAAAAAAGAAAAGAAGAAAAAAAGATCTCTTAGGTCCCTTCTAGTTATAAAAGCCTTATTTCTCAACTCTGCCTTCCTCCTACAAGGTTTTCTTATATGACACTTGTCATGAATTCTCAGTCATAGAGACCCTATGCGTCCTAACCAAATGCGTGAGAGGTTTGACCAGGGAGAATTAATGATTTATTTTAATATAATATATGATAATAAATTAATAACGATGATGTATCAGTTAATAAACCATGTTCAAGGGTACTTAGCTCAGGGTCGGAAGCTCATTCCTGGCAAGCACGAGGTCATGAGTTTGATCCCCGATACCAAAACAACAACAAAAATCCACGTTCATGATAGAAATACATTGGTGCCACCCCACCAATACAGAGCAGGCAATCTTCACTTTTATATGTGAGGAAACAAGTTCAAAGAAATCAATTTAGCACTCTAGGCCTTGTAGTAGGAAATATTAAAAAGATTGTAAATGAATATTTTTCTAAGGCAATTATGTATTTGAAACATTCTGACATAAAGATTAGTGTTTTGAAAGCAGTATTTTGAGGTATTTAGTCCCCCTAGAAGGTCATTCTAAAATCATAAAGAACTAACCTATAGTAGTGTATATTAGAGATTAGGGGAAATAGTAGTCAGAAGGGGCCTAGCAGCCTCTCAGATAAGTGATTAAGACAACATTTCTGTATGTGGGAAGAACCCTTGGAGTTCATTATTTCAGAGACCACCCAGCCCATGCTTCAGCAATAAAAACCAAAATATGATATTTGTTCTTTAAAAATATTAAAGATTATTATAAAGTTAGTGTTCAAATGTAAAATTTATGCTAGCCAACATTAAAGAAAAAATTCATGCATTTTATACATATTTGATTTAAAACTTTAAAAAATCAGCTGTATTTTAAATTTTTTGAAACAGGGTTTTGCTAGTTGCCAACACTGGCTTTAAGTGTTCAATCTTCTGGCTTCAGTCACCTGAACAGCTAGGATTGTAAGTGTGTGTCACTATGCCTGGCTCCATATATGATTTTTATTTATTTTTTTTTATTTTTATTTTATTTTTTTTTTTTGCTATTTGTATGCATAGGGGAGGCATGTGTTTTTAAATACCCAAAATTCAGGGACTGGGGATTTAGCTTGGTGATATAGGGCCTGCTTAGCCAGCACAAGGGCCTGTGTTTGGTCTTCATCACCAAAAAAGTAAAAATAAAAATGAATCAAAATTTTGCAAGAGGAAAACAATTTTAATGACCTTTTTGTATTATTTTCCTCACCCAGTGTTTATTTCATCTATTCACTTACTGTGTTCTCTAGTTTTTACATCTTTTTCATCAGAAGTAAAATATGGATAAAAATCTGCTTTCAAATATTGTATGGTGTGGAATGTCATCATTTTTATATCCTCTATCAAGGGCTCCTAAAAAACAAACATTAAGAAAGATTACATCAAAAAAAAATTTAAAAAAAAAGAAAGATTACATCTGGGGATCTTTTAAAAATCCATATGTTTTTGGGTAGTGGAAAGACAGCTTTTTCAGGATGCAGGAGGCTGAAAACAATGACTTGAAAGGATTTTCCCAGTTTTTACACTCCCTGATTTTGTGACTACTCCTGATAGATACAGGTTTCTTGGTACAAATCAAGCAAGAAGTGTACACAAGTCACTTATGGATCTTAATGAAATTGTGTTTTTAGGGAGACGGCTAGAAGTTATTTAGATGAGTAGTGAGAATGCCTATTTTCTTGGCTACTAGATATGCCACAGGGCTTATATCTTGTGTTGTCCTTCGGTAACTGAAGCCACTGTTGCCATGGAAAATGATGGCAATTTGAGTGAGACAATGTAAAGTGGCTCATGGAAATCTACTTTGTCACCTCAAAGTACAAGATCTTATATGGTGGCGCAGTTATATTTGGGTGGTACATATTCAGTTCTCTTCAAATTAAATGACCAATAGTCAGAAATTAAGTTATAATTTTATGGTTTCATATTTGAAAATCAGTTTGGGCAAAATGCTAAATAAGGAACAGTTCAGAATTATTAAATACACTAAAATATGATTTGAATAGTACTTTTATTGTAGCTAAACAAGATATAGCAGTCCTTGGACTTTCCATCCCATTTCTACAAAAACAAAATCAAACTATATCTAATATAAACTAGTACAAAAAATTCTCAATCCCGTCAAAGTACATGGTTTATTTCCAGCGATTTTGCACACTTGCAAGCCTTGCTACATGTTTTACCTGTCACGAAATTCTATTATTTTATAAAGTCACATCATTTTCTATAAAAAGGGAATGGAACAATCCAATGTAAAATTGCACGTGCCCAGTGCCCCAACAGAAAACTACTTTGGGATTTTCTCATAGGCGTGACCTCTGCTTCTCGAAGGTAGACTGCCAGAGGGAGAAGCATGTGTCAGCCCAATGGAAACCCTGTTGTGGGATTTCTTTTTGCTTTTTAAACCGATCACTTTTTAGGACGAGTTCCCACTGTATTTTCTAGTCCAAAATCCTTGCCACCAGATTATCATCTATTCCATCAATTTGCCACCTCTACCTGCTTTTCCAAAAGCCTTGATTGGAAAGAACTTCCTCTTATGGAATTCCCAGTTCTCTCTACAGTACTTGCAATCGCCCTCATCTCTCACCGGCTTCCCCTCTCGCTCCCACAATCCAGGTCCCCAGACACCCCTCGCCCCATTCCCAGCGTCTGAAGACAGCGTTGGGGTGTGGGTGTGAGGGGGACAGGGCTTTCCCAGGTGCCCCTCCTCGCAATCCCCCTTCCCAGGTGCTGCAGGGGGAGGGGAGCGGGTGGGTGGAAGGCGGTGGGGGAGGGGTGGGGCGAGGAGGAGGGGAGGGGGAGGGGGCAGAAGGAGGAGGAGGGGTGTGTGTGCGAGCGTGTGTGGCTGGGGGAAGCCATTGCCTGTTTAATAGTTGCTGTTGCTGCACTTCCGCTTCTCTCCCAGCGAGAGAGAGACACGAGTGGCCAGGCCCAGCCGCAGCCGCAGCACAGCCGCCGCGGCGGCACGGAGGAGCCAGACACAAAGAGAGGTACGGGGATCCCCTCTGTGGCCCGCCGCCCCCTGGCCGCGCCGCCTGGCCCCAGGGACACCCCTGGCCGCCCGCCCGCCAGTGCCGCCCGGGCCGCGGGGCATGGGGCTGGGGGTGGCGGCGAGGAGCCGGGGAGCCGCAGGGGTCCGGGGCCCGTTCGCGGGGGATGGGCCGGCACCCCGGGCCGCGTGGGGCACGGGGGTCGCCGGCGTCGGGCTGGGGTGGGGGGAGTCGCGGCTCGAACTGTCAGCGCTGCCCGGGAACCCCCCGCTGGCCGCCGCGGGGCCGGGAGCGGGGGAGGGGAGTAGGGGAGCCCCGTGTTGCGCCGGGGCGGGGGCCCGTGGGCATGGCCCCCTCCCGGGCCGGCGAGCTCATTGTTATTCCTGCGCGGCGGCGGGGGCGGCCTCCGCACCCCAGCCCTCGGCGCGGCGCGGCACGGCGCGCGCCCGCTCGGGACCCCCGCCCGGCCGCGCAGTCCCTAGCCCGGCGCCCGGGGTGGGGGCGGCGAGCAAGCGCGGGGGCCTTGGCCTCGCCGCCCCTGTCCCGGCGGCTGCCCTTCCCCCACCGGGCACCGCTCCCCGCCTCCGTCCCCCCGATTCGGCTTCCTCTCTTACTCCTTTCCCGCCCCTCCCCTCTTCCCGACCTCGCCAAACTCCGCTCGTGGCCCCGCAGTCTCGCCCGGGCCCCCGGCGCCCCAAGACCCCAAGAGTGGACAAAAACAGCCCCGAGGCCGGCGGGCCGCAGGACCTTCCCTCCCCGGGCCTGCCGCGGCGCCCCTGCTCTCCCCCCTCCTCCACGGTTTCTCCCTCGAGGCCCGGTGGGGACCCCACGGGGCGAGGGAGGGGTTGCTCGCCGTGCCCCCTACTTGGGGCCCGAAAGAAACAGATTGTCCGCTCCACTCTGCCAGAGCCTTAATGGGCCTGGAGACTTTGGCAAGAGGGTGGAGGGCGGTGGGTGCAGTGGGGCCCTCCAGACGGAACTCGAGTTCCGTATTTACATTCCCTGCAGGGCCTTGTGTTTCTGTTTTGTTTCCCTCCCCCTGCAGGGGCAGTTTGAGGGGTGGGGTGGGGGGTTCGCTATGTCGGATGACGATTCGAGGGCAAGCACCAGCTCCTCCTCATCTTCGTCCTCCAACCAGCAAACCGAGAAAGAAACAAACACCCCCAAGAAGAAGGAGAGTAAAGTCAGCATGAGCAAAAACTCCAAGCTCCTCTCCACCAGCGCCAAGAGGTACGACACCCCTGTGTCCCCCACTCCTCAGGCTTCTAGGTAGCTTTTAAACTGCCTCTTACTGCATTTGGGCCACCTTCCAGGAAGGGTAGCTTAAATGCTTCTTATGGTTTATGTGTTCTCAGAAATGAAAATGGGCCATAGAAGCCCTGATTATTTTCTCTTTTGCCTCTTCTTCTGTTCCGATCATTGTCCACTGGTAGCTGTTGTGGCTTGCTTCTTCCAGTTCTTGGTGTTTGTGAGAATCTTCATTTAGGTTTACTAGTGACCCCCAGATATTTCAGGTTAGTTGTCTTACTAATCACTAGTCAGTGACCTTCCCCAGGGCTGTCACTCCGTTTCTTAATTACTGTAGTAATACCTTCCTAGACAACTCATATCAAAACGAATTGCACGACCATCTCTTTTCCTCTTCACTTGTTGCAGGGATGATTTTTTTTTTTTTTTTTTTTTTTTTTTTTTTTGTGTGGTACCATGAATTGAACTCAGGACTTTGTGCTTGCCAGGCAGGCATTGTGCTGCTGAGCTATATTCCCTGCCCTAGGGATTATCTTTTCTGAATAGAGCTTTTCCCACAAATTGCTTCAGGGATACTCACATTAGTGGGAAAAAGCTTGGTAGGTGATGTTTCCTAGTGGAATTTAAAGATATTTTTCTGATTTGGAGAGAGGAAATGAATGAATGAGTACAATAAATGATTGTAAAATGGTTACCTGGGTTATTTTGGTGATTCTCTTTTATTTTCTTTGCTTTGTCAAATTTCCAGGAGACATTTTTTCATGCTATTTTTTTTTTTTTTTTTTGTCGGTACGGTTTGGGGATCGAGCTCAAGACCTCACGATGTCACGCTTGCAAGGCAGGCACTTAGGAAGCTGAGCTAATCCAGCCCCTCTTTCTTTTTCTTTTTCCTTTTTTTTTGGTACGGGGATAGAACTTAAAACTTTCTGCTTGCCTGGCAGGTGTTGTCCCACTGAGCTATATCCCCGGACCCGTGTGCTGTTTGCTCTTTTCTTACACTGTAAAAATTCACCTTTTCTTTTTCCTCCAGTTGAATTAAACCGGTGCCTTTTTCTTTATTCTTTTCCTCACACACGTTTCTTGAGGCAGTTTCTTTGCACCTTCATCATCCCTCAGAAGCGTCCTACTGACCCCATGATTCTTAAAATAACCTATGGTCAGTAGATTCCTGGGAACCCCCAGGCACCCTCTCATAAATCCCCTCCATGTCAGCTAAATAGTTGCTAAACTTTAAATCACCAAGTTGGGAAGATGGGAAGGAATCCCTAGTTAGGGATTCCTTAAAGTGTTTATAAATGGAACATGAGGCTTTAAATCTCTGTTGTAGTGAGCCCTAGAACTTGGAGTTTGAGAGTGGTTCTGTCATTCTCCCTGGCTTGAAGTTTGAGAATTTGGTGAACTGATTCAGTGCCTTAACTAACTATGGGCTGTCTTAATGATTTTAGCTTACTTTGAATAGTGCAGGGAGTAAAGCAAGTGGCAAGGTGTCTTGGCAAGACTGCTCTTTTATAGATGGTTTGGTTTCATTGCATCTTGGCTTCCCTGTGGGCCTAACCAGCTCTCTGATTAGCCCTATATGGGTTCTCCTGATACCTAGCATCTACCGTACATACTCTGATAGAACCCTCCTTAGAACTTCCCCTCTTACATCCCCATTCTCCACTAGCCTTTTGGCTTGAACTGCCCCAATGCAAGAATTTGCTTTAGGTCATCAGTATTTTATATTTTTCTGGGTATCTGTGTTGTATACGAATATATTTGAGGGCAAAGGCACACCTTGTAAATAAAGTCTGCATTTTGTCACCAATTTACAAAGGGGAATTTACTCTTAGACATAATATGTTCATTATGCTAAAGAAGTTCAGACTAGGAAAGAGATGGTAGATGTAGAAAATTAAAGGTGGGGAGCTATAAAGAGTAATTTTACCTATAAACATCAGGATTTCCTTCCCTCCCCTCTCTTGTTTCTCCTCTCCTGCAGTGAATTTATAGACCTAGGTGTCTTGCTGAGAGAGTGGGTATTAATTTGTGTTAAGGTTAATATTAAAAGGCAAAAAAGTGAAGAGAGTGTATGTAGGAAAGAGAAGAGAAAATTCATGCTCCTGGGGTCTGTGGAGGGTGTTCTGTGAAATATATTGGTTTGGAAAGTAGGTGTTGTCCACAAAATTGGAAGGGGCACATTTACCAGGAGATTACTTTCTCAGTACTAAAGAAATAATTACCTTTTTTGAGTTTTTGGGGAGGAAGTTTTTGCCTATGAGACATAACTCTTAAGTCAATTCTAAAAGGTGCAAAGAAACCAGGGTTCCAAACTTTTAGTCTATATGGAATAATGTCTGAGTCAAAGCAGCAGGGATGCAAGTATCAGTACTGCAATGCTCATTGGTAGCTGAGTTTAGCAGGAAACTAATAATTCAGTGCTACTAGAAACTTAAACCCTTTTCTAAAGTTGATCACTTTGTGGTGGACAGGAAATTCTCTTCAGTAGGGAAGTAAAGAATGTAAGTGATCATCCTTGTCTTCTTTTCACGTAGAGGAAACAATGCCTTGTAAAACATCGCTTTGATAGCTGGTCTCTTCCTATCTTCAGAAACTTTTGGAAAGAGAAAATTATGTATTGTCATTCAAATTGCCGCGTGTGTGTCGTTTTTCATCCCGAGCTGGGTCAGTGAAATTTTCAAGTTGTAACCTAGAACAGTAGGACTTTATGTGATAGGAAGAGAGGTTATGAAAATAGGCACCTTTTAGAAGGTGGAAGCAGTTTAAAGGCCCTAAAGTTGGCCGTACGAACTGATGTTCCAGGGCCTAGGTAAGCACAAGACAAAGGCCAGGGCTTGGTGTGAACCGCCTGGTGCCTTTGGCTTGGGGCTGGGGGATGGGACTCTGTGAAGTATATAGAGTTGAGGTCCAGGCCGAAAATTGGGGGTCACTGGTAAGGAAAGGTCCATTGTGAGCCACAGAAGGGGCGACCGAGAGAGAAGGAAGTGTCCGAGGGAAGTGCGAGGACTTCGGGGAAAGCAGGGCCGCAAAGCTGGGCCGCAAGTCTGCGCGGCATGCGGGGCGGGGGCGGGTGCACCTGTGCGGGCGCGGGCAGGGTTCCGGGCGCCGGGAGGACGGCGGCGCCGCGCAGGACCCTTCTCCCCGCCGCCTGCGCCCGCCCGCCCGCAACTTAGGCAGCGCGGGGCCGCCCCGAGCGCGCGCCGTGTGGCCGGGCCGCCCACCCGCGACGGCGCAGGTCAGCCCGGTTGGGGGGCCTCGCAGGCAGCGGCCATGTTGACGGCGGCGCGGGGCTGGGCAGGCCTGGCATCCGCGGCCTACGGGGGGCGCCCTTCCGGCCACTGGCCCGGGGCGTGAGCCGCGGGTCCGGGCTAGCAGGCGGGGCGGGCCGGCCGGAGGTGCAGGGGAAGGCCGCGGGAGAGGAGTGTTGAGGGAGAAACTTTGAGATGATTTCCTCCCCGATTGGAAACGCCAAAACTGGAGCGGCCGCAGTTTGCGAGCAGAATTGGAACCCAGACTTCGGGACAAGAGAACTCGAACTGCCGCCTCCGCCTCCAGAAAAGTTTCCTGAAGCACCGACCTGTGCGTTTGATATGCAGTGTCCTCGGTCCCAGTGGAGCCCCGCGGGCCCGGTTAGGTTTGCCACAGGTGGGAAGCTTCCAAGGCCTTAACGCCTTAACGCTTCTTGTGTTTTGTTTTCCCGGCTCAGGATTCAGAAGGAGCTGGCAGACATCACTCTAGACCCTCCGCCTAACTGCAGGTGAGCTGCCTTCAAGATTTTTCTCTATACTCCTAACCTTGCCTTAGCCTTTTCTTTGCATTACCACTGATCCGTGCCTTTTTTCTTAGGTTGATGCTTTCGGTGCTAATATTAAGGGCTGGAACTTACTCAGTGTAACATTTTGATGAGTTTTTGACTGCCTCAGTGCTCTGTCCAGGAGAAGTAATGGGTTTATTTAAAGGTGTTCCTTTGCCTAGTGGGTCTTAGATATGTTATATAAGGATGTAAAACCTTTTAGGTACTAAGGTACATAGATTTAGGCGACTGCTTTGCTATAGGAATGTCTCAGGCTCTGTTAAGCTCATAGATAATAGAATCATACACTGAGTTAGTTCATAGATAGAATCATCCTCAGAGTTAGTTCATTGCATATAGTTTTGTATTGGACTTTTAGCAGGGCAATTCGGGAAATAATTTTTGTTGTTTCATTAGAAATTTAAATTTACAAGGTACTGTTTTTCCATGGTATTTCTTTATTAAGACTGTATATATGGGTGTATATTTCAATTTCAAAACAATTTAAAACGAGTTTCCACTGGATCTGTTGGTTTAGAATAGCTGTTTTGCTACCATCGAGCTATGGTGGAAAATTTGATGACTTTCCTAAATCAACAGTGATGTGTTATAGTAAACCATTTATTTGAGGGAGAGTCATTGTTCATTTCTATAACTCCTAGTTTAAAAAATAAATTACAGCATTTAACTTCTCAGTTCTCAGGATTGGCATTGGAATGGATTGCAATTGTGTTAGTGTTACTCAGAAAATATTCAGTGGCCAGATGCAGAATATAAGGTGAATACGTGGAAATGTTCAAGTTAAAAGCTAACCGGTCGTTTGGACACATTTGTTCTTAATTTTAATCAGTTGTGGGAGATGTTTGCTGTTGAAATTTTGTTCTGTTTTGTGAGGAAAGTCATTTTGAGTTTGAAAAGTATACATTAGTTTGAAATGGAACCACTGAGTCACTCTGGAGGATTATTGTCATGGCTAACAGTCTTTACAGGTTGAGAAACTGAAGAAACGGTAGCAGTTGTTCACATGGAAGCAGTAGTCTCAGTTTGTGTGACTCCATAGTAATCTCTCCCTCCAGATCTGTGCAGCGTGGCTATTGCTCGTCTTTGGCATTGTGTGTCCTGTGTGTTTCACTGATCAAATTATGAAGTTGAGGCATGGTTTTAAAACTGCTATCTATTAAAGCATAGAGTGGCTTTTTGTGCATGCAGTCAAATTTTTTAAATTTTATTTATTTTATATATATATATATTTTAGACTAGTCAAGTGCAGTAGTTAGAAGGGGGGAAAGAGTAGAACAAGGAGTTCAATCTGTACTGACTGTGAACAGTCAATTGAGATAACTCACTACCTTTGGACCAGCCCATGCAGTCAAATTTAAAATTATAAACAGTTTGAAATTTTTTGGGGGATTAGTCATTTTAAATAGGGCCAGGCGAGGTGGTGCATGCCTGTGATTCCAGCACTTAGGAGGCCGAGGCAAGATGATTATCCCAAGTTCGAGGTCAGCGTGGGGTACTTGAAACCCTATCTCAAAGAAAAAAAGTAAAAATGGGATTAAATACACTTTAATTTTACATTTCAACTGAGTTTCGTGTGTGAGAGATTTCCTGTTTTTGAGGGATATGGAACTTTATTTTTTTTAATACCAAGTACATTGATTAGAAAAGAAAGTTAGGAAATATTTCATATCTTGAGAAATTTTTTAATAAAAAGCAATAAACGAACAGAAAAAAATAATAAAGATCAGAAAACAGTCCCTTATCAAACTGTCGACACCATTTTTCATAAAGATTAACTTTTGGTTCTTACATTTCTGTAAAAATACAAAAGACTCAGAATAGTCTAAACAATATTGATAAAGGAACAAAATTAGAGCTCCAGCCCTCCCCACTCCCATGATTTATCAAAAAGTCAACACCAATCATGACAAAACAACATTGATATCAAGATAGACAAACCCACCAAAGTACCAATATAAAGTCCCAGAATAGATATCCACGCAATAGACAGGAACTTTCTGTCTTTGAAGCATCCTCCTACCTCTTTGTGACCCTTTGGAGTATTATTTGTGGTCAGGAGAAACTCAAAACAGAGTGGCTATTGCAAGATGGACAAATCTCTTCAGTACATTTAATACTTTTTGAGAAAAATGATTTCAGAAAAAATACCAGCTATCTTTATTTTGCAAGTGAATGCACATTTTGTTGTCCTTAACAGATGAAGACTGTTTTATTTTCTGAAAACAGAAAAACAGTTTAGATCACTTAAGTAATGTACATTTAAAATTTGGTTTTGGTTGCCCTTTAATGTTACCATCCCAACATATAGTTATCTCAAAATTCAGCACTCTTATGTAAGTTCAGTTTTATGTTTTTTGTGCTGGTAGCTTGTAGGATTTAATTATTTGATATTTTGAAAACTTCGTTGGAGATGGAAATACACAATTCAGTTTGGGAATCTTTGAAGTATGTTTTCAATTAAAATGTGAGTTAGACGATACAATAAAGGCATGTACTTTTAAAAATAATTTCTCCAAAGTTATCTGGAACATGACAGCTTAGTAGTTTGGATAGCATTGAAATTGTAATTTCATCACCTATAAATTATATTTTGAATCAGCTAAATAATTGGTTTTCAATTAATGTATCTTGGCCATATTTTTACCTTTTTCATCTTGCTTCAATTAGTATTTATAGTTTTAAATTTAAGCACATTATTTTCATAAAACATAGTACTTGGCACAACCTGTCAATAAACAGTTGATTATTGCCAATCACTGGTAAAATTAATTCTTGTGAAAGAAGATGCATTACCTGTTTTCACTAATACTACTACTTGACAAAAACATTTGAAGTTACTGAACTTCAAAAGTTGAGTGAAATGCAGTTGCTAAATGTGTTTAATGTCTGAAAACAAAGTTAAATCTTTAATGTTTTATATTACTGATTAGACTTTTTAGAACAATACGATGCAGCGTATACTCAGTATGTAAATCAAAAGTATTATAAATGACTATCTTAAAGTTGCTTTCTATTGCATATGATTACATTGCTTATTTTTATTATTTCAGCTAGTTTTATGTATATGTACATATAACTTGCACGTATGAAAAAATTGTCTCCCTACTCACTGTGCATTTGATTTTTTTTTTTAAGCCAGTCAAATTTAGCAGTGGGGGGGTGGTATACCAACTTTAGTGACACTAATGTTAATAAGTTCTGATAACCCACTGCCATCGGACCAGCCATTGGCTCAGTTCTTTTGAGAAGTAAATATTACCTTAACTACTATAATGATTTCCTAAAGCTCCCCCTATCTTGGGTTGTAAAATTATGCCTTTTAGATAGCTGGTGAACTCTGGGCCATTTGAGTCAGTTTTGCTGCTGTTATTTTATAGTCCACAGCCTGAACTTGCCAAATTGACTAGTTATAGCCGTGTAGCTAGTCTGTAGACCTAAGTCTGTTATTGGTATGTCTGCTTATCCTAATGAGCATACATTGCCCAAATCCTTTAAACTTCAGATTTTATTTAATGAACACATTTATATTATGAATAAACATATTAAGTAATGATTTGAAATCTAGAAGTTCAAGTTTTGGGTGGGTGCTATTTGGAGATAAAATGTCTCCAAGAAGTAATTAAACATTTCAAGCACAGAGACTAACAGAAATTTCCTTTTGTATGCTACATTACTTTTTGACTTTTTGTCTATTTCTTGAATAAACCTATGGCAGTACTTTAAATTTATGTTTCTGGGAGAACCTGGATTATGTAATCAGATAAAATGTGTTTTAAAGTCTATTTAAAAGATGACTTAAAGATAAAAAATTTAGTGTACTTAACTAAAAAGTGAAATTTTCTCAGCCTTCTTTATTTACCTCATTTACTCGTAAAAGGTCTTAATCTCTGGCCTGCCTACTTATAGTGTCACAAAGTTGAGGTTAAAGTTTTCTGTATGTGCTATCTGGTGATATCATTAGACTTGCCTGTTTACTGTTTTTTCTTTTTCTTTTTTCTTTTTTGGTACCAGGAGAGTCATGAGCTTGCACTTGCCAGGCAAGCAAGTGCTTGTGCTGCTGAGCTAAATCCCTAGCCATTACCTTTTCTTTTTTTTTTACTTTTTCTTTTTTTCCGGTACCATGACTGTATTTGCCAGGCAGGCACTTAACGCCATGAGGTGATCCCTGGCCCCCTTACCTCCTTTTTGATATCTTTTTGTTACATTTTAAAGGTATTACACATTAAGAATGCTTTATGTTGCCTGGGGTGGTGGTGCACGCCTGTAATACCAACACTCGGGAAGCTGAGGCAGGATTGTTGGGAGTTAAGAGACCAGCCTGGGCTACAAAGTGAGCTGAAGGCTAGCCTGACCTGCATAGTGAGAGAGTTTCAAAAAGACCAAACACAGGACCTCTTGCTTACCAGGCAAGTGCTTGAGCTACTGAACTAAATTTCCAGCCCCAAAAGAAGACTTTTTGTTATTGTTTTGTTTTTTGCTGTGTAGGGTCTTGCTATGTAGTCTAGACCATCCTTAAACGCACTGTGTAGCCGAAGCTGGCCTTGAATTTGCAGCAGTCATCCTGCCCCAGCCTGCTGGTTGCCAGGGTTATAGGTGTGCTAACATGCCTGGTTTAAGAAAACATGTTTTTTAAACATTCAAATGCAAACATTTGTGGAATTAAAAATATCTCTCTTGTGAAATCTTCTGTTCCTTGTAGGGAGATGCTGCAAGCTCATACTTTTATGTATGTATCCTTTCAGGTAGTTTCTCTGAATTTACTTAGTTGTATTTGCCTTATTAAAAGTACCTTGTAATAGTGGTAATGGTAGTGAGATACCAATTTAGAAGTCCCAGGCTGTTATCCTTGGTTTACAATGAAAAGAGATCCAGTCTTTATAATGGTATAGTAGTACATCGTCCACATTCAACATGTTTTAAATGATCGTTGGGTCAATAGAAGC